TTATCTTAAGTTAATAGTGTTGAGGGTTCTTGTTACATTATTCCTCTCTGCTTTCAGCGTTATATTTTTTGATATACATATTTTACTTCAAGCCTTCTCGAAATCATGCATTCATATAAAGATTGAATTTGAGGCAAATTCCTGTTTCGTTGAATTAAAATGTCGATTTCTGCTACTTGATTTTCCGTATTTAGCCTCAACTACATAATACCTCTCATGGTTGCTGCCATGGTCAGTAAGTGGACTGGCGATCGCCTGACAAATGGTAGCATCTACGAAGAGCACATACGTCTCAACAACTATCCTTACCTAAGCAGCCACGATGAACTTATGCACACCTCAATTGCTGCCGACGTCATGAGACCGAGGTGAGCATTATATATGAGCAAAGTATGTTTTGACTTTAAGCCCTAAGGCTTTTGTACCTTGTTTGCTCTTTTTGCCTAAAGGTTTGTCTCATCAATAGTTAGCGCAGCGGCTATTCGTAAAATAGCTTGCAACTAGTGTTTTCAATTATTATGACATGTCTGAATGATTCTGGGGTTTGGCAAACACATTTACAATGGATACTCAAATGTCCTGCACGGGCTTTACGTACGCGAACAGTAGTAAAATTAAGTTTATTTTCCTCAAATTTTATTTTCTATTTTGACGATTTTTTTACAAAGTTTCTAATTATTTCTTACTTATGCTTACGGGCGAGATAGGTATAAATATTTTTTGAAGTTGTTTCAAATTGGTTTAGCTTATTCTGTGCCTGAAGAATTTCTAAGGCCTTACCCTTTTTATTTTGGTGCTGATCCTTAAAATCTCAGACGATGATTTCAGCAGTCTCCTTACATTTAGCATGTTGGAGAAATAAATGAGCTATCGAAACTACCCTATGTTAAATCTTTGTTTTTGGATTTTACTACTATTTTTTAGACATATGACTTCGATCATGTTGCTGCTATCACTTTAATTTAAAAGAATACTTGTCACATCAATGGAATTTGAATAATTTACCTTTACTTTCGTTTTTTTCTCAATATTTTTTACGTTAATTTATTTTTTATTCATTTTTATTAAGTATTTATTTTAAATATTAACTATATAGCACATCATTATGACTATTTAAAGTAAACGAGACGGCACATCTTGTACTCACAATTATCCGATATTTATCTTCACAAAGGCAAAGTTTTTGCCCTTAAACTTATCTTAATTTATGCTAAATGAATGAACGTGTGGCAGTGCAATTTTCTTAAGAAGGCCCAATCATGCTCTTGAACCACAGGCTATTGTGAAGTTTCCGTTCTGTTTCTTTGGCTATTAAAAAAAAAAAATTATCCTTAACTTATTTTATACCTTTATTTTTTAAAGTATGGCAAATGTGGCTGTCTTTTTTTAATATTGGTCTATTTACTAAGAGAGCAATACAAAAATATAATAACGTATTTTATTTTCTACAGTAGGAAATTAAGGAATTTTTAGTATATAAGCAGAGTTTCGAGACTACCAGTATCTCAGTTATACTAGATGTATTCACCCTCTTCGTTTGAGTTAATGAAGGACCGTTAGTAGAATTTTCCTACAATTATATGAAAGCGTCAAGTCTACTCCTTCCAGCACAATATGGAAAAGTGGGTGGGTGGGATGAGAGAACCAGTGATGAGTGTGAAAAGGTTTGACTAAATGTGCTCAAAAGAGCTAAACTGAACGATCGAAGGTATGAAGACCAAGATGGTGTGGCCTTTTGTGTGGTCGAAGGTTCCTTTGGTTGTATAGAAGATGTTTGACCTTGTTTTCACAACTTGGTCACATTAGTAGGAAGACTTAGAGGAACGTATCTAGTCCTGAGTCCTTTGTCTGCATGATCATTTCAAAAGTCGGACCGTGGACGTGGTACTCTCCCAGATGTTTCGCCGGCATCGTCAGTGGGTCTCGCCATTCGTAGCACCATAGTACAGCTCGTCAAAAGACACAAGTGAAGCTGATCCTTTGACCAAAACGTGTGTTAACCAGTTGTGGTATCTCCCCTTCTGCCCTTGGTTATTCGCGTTTCCGGTAACATCCTATCATGCCTTCACTAATACAATTTTCACCGTGTTTATTTAGATAGTGTGGTGTGCTCTTTTGAGCGA